ATTCTGATAGAATAGACAAAACCGGATATGGAGATGTCATGGGACGACATGGACTGAGTGAGAGAAACGAAAATGGGAAAAGATTTGCAAATCTGTGTGCATTCAACAAACTGATCATAGGAGGCACAATATTTCCACACAAGCGTATACACAAGGCTACATGGATCTCACCGGACCACACTACAGAGAACCAGATAGATCATATTTGCATCAACAAAAAATTCCGAAGGACAGTGGAAGATGTGAGAACCAAGAAAGGAGTTGACATAGCTTCAGATCACCACCTAGTTGTGGCCAATTTAAAACTGAAGCTAAAGAAGAACTGGACAACTGGACAAACAGCACTACAAAGGTTCAATACAGCCTTCCTTCGAGATACTGACAAACTCAATGAATTCAAGATAGCTCTCAACAACAGGTTCCAAGCCTTACAGAATCTACTGAAGGAATGAGAAACTACTATGGAGGACAACTGGAAAAGTATCAAAGAAGCATTAACTTCAACGTGTCAAGAGGTTCTCGGTCTAAAGATGCACTAGACAGGATCAAAGAAAGGAAGAACAAGAAGGCAGCAATAAACAACAGCCGAACGCGAGCAGAGAAAGTCCAAGCACAAGCTGAATATATAGAAGCAAACAAACAAGTGAAGAGGAGCATTAGAGCCGACAAGAAGAAATACGTGGAAGAACTAGCAACGACGGCAGAAAAAGCTGCTAGAGAAGGAAATATGAAACAGCTTCACGATACAACGAAGAAACTAGCAGGGAAATACAGTAAACCAGAGAGACCGGTCAAAGACAAAGAAGGCAAGCCAATCACCGAAATTCAACAACAGCGGAACAGATGAGTAGAATACTTCGAGGAACTCCTGAATAGGCCGGCTCCAATGACTCCACCAGACATCGAAGCAGTACACTTAGATCTTCCCATAGATGTCAACCCACCAACGAAGGAAGAAATCAGAATGGCCGTCAGACAAATCAAGAACGGGAAACCAGCAGGACCCGACAACATACCAGCTGAAGCACTGAAATCAGACATCGAAGCAACCACAAGCATGATTTACCTTCTATTCAAAAAGATTTGGGAGGAGGAACAAGTGCCGATGGACTGGAAAGAAGGACACCTCGCCAAGATTCCAAAGAAAGGAGATCTGAGCAAATGTGAAAACTACAGAGGCATTACACTGCTGTTAGTACCAGGGAAAGTCTCCAATAGAGTGTTGCTGAACCGGATGAAAGATGCAGTAGACGCCCAACTTTGAGATTAATAAGCTGGATTCCGTAAGGATCGATCATACACAGACCAAATTGCAACACTACGGATCATCGTCGAACAATCGGTTGAGTGGAACTCATCACTATACATCAACTTCATTGATTATGAAAAGGCATTTGACAGTGTAGATAGGAGGACGTTATGGAAACTTCTTCGACACTACGGAGTTCCTCAGAAGATTGTCAACATTATCCGGAACTCATACGACGGACTTCAATGCAAAGTCGTGCATGGAGGACAGCTGACAGATGCATTCCAAGTAAGGACCGGAGTCAGACAAGGCTGTCTACTCTCTCCCTTCCTCTTTCTTCTGGTGGGCGACTGGACTATGAGGACCTCGGCATCTGAAGGAAAACACGGAATACAATGGACAGCTCAGAATCAATTAGACGATTTGGACTTCGCAGATGACCTAGTCCTCCTATCGCATACACACGAACAGAATCAGATAAAGACAGCCAGTGTAGCAGCAGTCTCTGGATCAGTAGGCCTCAGCATGCACAAAGGGAAAACCAAGGTCCTCAAATTCAAAGCGGAGAACAGAAATCCAATCACTCTTGATGGCGAAACTCTGGAAAATGTAGAGTCCTTCACATACCTAGGAAGCATCATCGATGAACAAGGAGGTTCAGATGCAGACGTAAAGGCAAGGATTGGCAAAGCAAGGACAGCATTCCTACAGTTAAAGAACATATGGAACTCAAAACAACTTTCAACCAATATCAAAGTGAGAATCTTCAATACCAACGTCAAGGCAGTTCTACTGTATGGAGCTGAAACTTAGAGAACTACAACAACCACAATCAAGAAAGTACAAGTATTTATAAATAGCTGTCTACGCAAGATACTCAACATCCATTGGCCGGATACCATCAGCAATAGCCTTCTGTGGGAGAGAACAAACCAACTTCCAGCTGAAGAGGAAATTAGGAAAAGACGTTGGAAGTAGATAGGACATACATTAAACAAACCATCAAACTGCACCACGAGGCAAGCCCTAACTTGGAATCCTGAAGGGAAATGGAAAAGAGGAAGGTCAAACAACACACTGCGTCGGGAAATGGAATCAGATATGAAAAGGATGAAAAACAACTGGAAGGAGCTAGAAAGGATTGCCCAGGACAACGTTGGATGGTGAATGCTGGTGAGCGACCTATGCTCCTTCAAGAGGAGTAACAGGAGTAAGTAAGTAACTTAAACCGAATTGGCGATACTATATTTTATGAACGAGTCAGTCAGATCTGGGATAACAGATCTTAAATTTTGACACGAAATTCATTCATCTGTTTGGTTAAGGGCGTTTTGGGATTTTAGCTGAAGTTAGTTCGTGATGAAAACTTTAAATCTAATTCTTGACCCTAATCATCAACTGTAAATCATAATCCTTTTTTCTTCACACAGGTTTATAACTCACATTCAGCCCTCGTGAGTTGGTCGATATTCTCAAGGCCACTTTAACGTCGCTCAAAAGTCGTCCATAAATTATAGTCTCACCACTGAATTCACTAATTTTAAGATTATTACCACTTATTACGAGCTTATAAGCTCAAGTTTAAAATATTAGGTTATTCGATGAAACATACTAACAGAGAGTTAACAATTAATGATGTGATCACATTTCAGATAAAAACTAATTTCAAATACTTATACACGTACAATGTCTTTATTTTCAATTTGTTTTAAGTAGTATTGTCAGATATTTCAATGTACAATGATCCGCTTTCTTATTTTCCTTTTACATAAAGACTACACTTACTTATAGTAAGAATATGGTAACAATAAATATTGCAAAATCATGTGGTCAAATGAATGAAACTTGTGTGAATAGATACATTGCTTGGTATAATACAACAACGGAAGAAAATTGTTGTATTACTGACTTATGCAATGCATCTAATATTCAGTTGTCAAAGTCAATAGTTGGTCTTTTCATATCTGGCTTAATTATCTTATTAACTTGTTAAGTGTTATAACACTACTCAAATTAAGTACACTTTTAAAGGATACATACTACCAATGAACAACTGTTAAAGATAAACAGAACTTTTGAATAATACATTGTAATCATTTAAATGAAGTATTATTCCACTTGTTTACTTTATTGATGTTAATTTTTTTAATATTTTTTAATGAGCTACATTCATCTTATCATCCGCACACTATTGTTTGCACACGAGTTACTTTGCATTGATTTTTTATGTGCTTGAATCTCACCAATGTAGTAAAATGACCTATTGATTAATCTACCTGACCATGAATTATGAGCTAATTATGAGAATTGTTTATAATAGGTGACCTACAGATACATTTTGTTTTTCAAATAAAGAAGTAGAATGCCATTATCTATAAAGTTATTTCGGCGAGATTATAATTTATGGACGAACCAATCAGATTTAAGATAGCAGGTCTTAGATTTTGGTCCGAGATTCATCCACTCATTTGGCCAAATACCATTATAGCTCATGTCAGTTGATGAAAACACTAAATATAATTTTTAATCCTAACGTTCAACTATAAATCCTAATCATAGTTCCTCGCACTAATTTATGGCTCTGGTAAGTAGATGGACATTTTCAAAGTCATTTTAGCGTTGCTTAAAGGTCGTTCATAAACTATAGTCTCACCGTTGTTTTGTTTGCTACATGAAAAGTAGTTACTTAATTTAATGAAATAATTACTTCTCAAAATTTCTGAATGCATTACGAAATTCTTCCACAAACATAAAGAAGCTTTACCATTGTTCAGTGGGTAAAACAGTTGTTGTCATTTATAACTTCCCATAGTATGATATTTTAAATCTACACAAATTGAAATAAAATTCATTACGAACTACCGATTTTGTTTTAATTACTATAGATATTTTTCCATTTGTACTTGACATAAGACAGCTTAAAATACAATATAAAACTATAAGACCGGTGGATGCGGGTCATTTGTCTCATACTTGCAGAAAACAACTGCCTCGTGCTCCCTAGTTTTCAAAGGTACCTCAGCCATTAGTATGTGGCAAGATACGTCTTTAAACTAAACGGATTACCACAGACCTCTCAATCACACTAAAATAAAACAACCAGTTATGCCTTCATTTGTCTCTAAACTAATTATTATTATTCTGAGATGAATAATGTATTTTACTTGAAGTTCTGGTCTCATACACATCTCAAATGGTAAACTTAACATAGCCACTTTGGCTATGTAATACACGATTGTTGTACACAAATTTTTGACATTAGCACCTACGAAAGAGACTTTACGTTTACAACCAAGGACCAGTAGATGTCAAACTGCTCATCACAATATCCAACACCACCATTCGAAGAGAGTGTAAATAAAAAAATGAGTATCTATATTTAGAGGATTAAATACACTGATATGGTGAGCCAATTAGAAGTGACCAAATGAGGTCACTTGACGACAAGGGGTATAAATGTATATATTTAATTATTTATGAATGTTTACTGTAGCCTAACAGACTTTCGCTTCCGCTCTTATCCTTTCGTCCAAGTAGTCGATTTATGGGCGTTATTGAGTAGCACGTTTAGTATCATTATCAGATCTCGGAAGTCACCCATTATAACAACTGACTATTTATGGTCTAATGATGTACCAATATGCAATTAATGATCTAAGAATAGTAGGTGTTAAAAACAAATGAACTTTGAGAATTCCTTGCTTTATCTATGGGTAAACATAACAATCATAAAATGTAACCAAATAAACGCCTAGGTTTCTTATATAATCCTTAATAAACAGTCAACAAAAAATATATGTGAAGTAGTTTTATTGATCATTACACGTTGTACACGCAATTAAAGATGAACCTTTTCTATAAATATCATAATAAATATAATATACCACTTTTTGATGACTCACAACAACTTTTATTCATTAGTTCATACGTAAAATTAAAACTAATAACAAAAGTACACATAGAAGACAAGAACAATATAGCGTGCACAATATGATTTTCATCAGAAAGAAATGGGGAAAAACAATGAATGGTTAACACAATCATCCCTATTTTGTCTACTAAAAAAGGAACAAAAAGAAGAAATATCATATCCAAAATTAAATTTAGGAAAATTACAACTGAATTTTACCATAATACAACGTTAGCAAAACAAGACACCGGTTATCATTTAAAATGCCAAGTATTATTTGGAATTTGCATTGTTATGATCATTGGAATTAGTATTGTTTTCCGGATTTGAATTTTGTCCGCCAACATTGGTATGAAATGTTTGACGTAAGTGATTAACAAGTTGTGGATTGGATGCTTGCAATTGTTGAGCAAGTTGTTGACCACTAAAAATAAGCAATCAAAAGAAAATACACAAATATGGTATGATAATAGAAAACTACTTTATTAAGAATAAAACAGGTATGTGATAGAAACACTAAATATATGACTAATTAATTAACTGCTTGCTTCCTCATTTCCAGACAACATCAACACATACTTCATATTTTACATTTGGCAAACTATGCTCTGGTTTGATACAGATAATACACTAGTCTATGTTCATCCTCATGTGTCAATAACATTATAACAAAATAACTCCGAAATGTACATCAAAGTAAAATTGAAAGACTATAAAAGTAACATACTGAAGTAAGAGTTGTAGAAAAATGAGAGATAAACAAAACAACAAAGTATCTCATATGTCAATGGACTAGAATAAGATATAACTTTTCGCAATAATGCATCCAACAAGTAGTTATTCGCATTTTACTGGTTTCTAGTGTCTGAAAAAGCCTGCTCACTGAGATAGACCAAACCCTTCCTAATGACGACATATCCATTATACCTGTTGAACAATTTAGTGGCTATCTGGTCTCAGTAGCTTAGTGGATAAAGAATTTGACTTTGAGAGCGAAAGGTGCCAGCTTCAAGTCCTAGTATGAATATCAACAACGGAATGCAGGTGCCCCCGACTGGTGAGCTCCAAATAGGGCGTAACGTGCGTCCTGGATCCCACTGCTGGTTGCAACCTATTTATTCTAAATAAGATATTCTATCTATTTGTTGATAGAAAGGGTGCAGAAAAGTGAGTATTATCACAATTTATGTGCTCTTTTATTCACCTCCCCATAAAATTTTCCTTTAGTTCGGCTAAAAGTATAAAACTAATCGAATTATCAATTTTGAAGCACAACACCATTAGTGTGCAAAAAATAAAACAATATACAAATGATGACCAAATACTTAGAATGAACCTATTTCTAATAAAAATGGAGTGAATAGAATAGGTAATAAAGAACAAAAAAAAACAAATTTCTTACAGGCGTAAAAATTCATCCATACTTTGACCATTAGTACTAGGACCAGTACCACTAGAATTATGACTTTGTGAACTAGATTCTGTTGATTCGTTGGAATTATCAGTCTCAGTATTACGGGGTGAATTATTTGTAGTTGGATTGTCAGATACTCCAAATGTATTGCGTAATAGATTAGTCATCCTAGATTGATGGCAAAGTGAGAACGGTAGAGAATATAAATTTGTTCAATTTTAGGTACTAGAAAATGTTTTGATCTATGTTATATAAACTAGGTGTACTACACTACTAAAATGAACAATTACAAATTGCTTGGAAAAAACGCAATGCGTTTAAACGCGCTGCAGAAATTTATCATTTTGTTTTAAAGACGACATTTTTTATTGATGACGGGTTTGAAAAACATTTAAATTTAACTCATGTGGATACCATCAACTTGCAGCTTAGATTAATTACATCCTGATTTTATTTCTGAGATTCCTTTCACAATTATTAGCATAAACCTTTACCAAATATAGATAGAAACGCAGGATATTGCTTTGAAACATTAATCAGACTTACATATTTTGAGCATTCGGGTCATTCATGAATTGCCGAGCCATATTCTGCATCATTGGATTATTTAAAAAGGAATTTAAGTCAAAACCACTAAATAATCCTGAACTCTGAGTACTATCTGATGAATTCTTCAACTTTTCCTCGGCAATTGATAGATTTTGCTGACAATTCTCGTTATTGGGGTCAAGTTCTAAGCCTTTCCGATAACACTCAACAGCTTTAGTATGATTACCAATGCTAGAATAGGCGATACTACAATAAAGAAGTACCAAATAAAATTACCAAGAGTATACAAATTAACATGTCCAGTATTTAATTCTATTGCTTTATGCTACTGCTATATACACAATTAATGAACTGAACTGTCTATGATCATGGAAACTAATTCTCTTGCTTCGATAAACATTCAAATGATTCAAATATTATTGCTACTATTATTATTATTATTATTATTATTATTATTATTATTATTATTATTATTATTATTATTATTATTTACTACATCATTATTCACCCTCTTTTATTCCTACTTTGTCTATACTTATTTTTTTCGACTTATACAGCAGCTCGTCTATGATGGAAATTCGACTCTATCTAAACGTTTTCGAGTCACTGTCCGGTTGAAAATTGCATGTTACCACCGAATACGAGGACTGAAGCAGTTTTTCTGAAACCACGTGCACCATTCAAACTGGATGCCTTCAACGTTCGCACATTTATGCACGTTGGACAACAGATAGGGCTGGCTACGTCTTTGGAAAGTCTTAATATTGATGTTTGTTGTCTATCCGAGACCCGTATTCAAGACTCTGGCGAAGTACTACAAATTCGATCTCCATCTGTCGCTTCAAAAAGCTTGTTTTACGTGCGCTTATCCGGGGACCCTGTGACATCTTCGTCTGGTCTTGCTGGCGTTGGTGTCGCACTAAGCGCTAGAGCTGAGGCAGCACTAGTCGATTGGATCCCCATTAACAGTCGGTTATGTGCTGTTAGATTAGAGAGTTCCATCAAAGTGAGAAGAAATCGGCGTGAGAAACGATGTCTTTTCGTCATCTCCGCCTATAATCCGACAGATTGCAGCCCGGATGCAATCAAGGATGAATTCCACCACCAGTTAACTGTTCTTCTCCAGAAAGTGCGTTCGACAGATATTGTAGTACTAGCCAGAGACTTGAATGCTCATATCGGGCGTCTAGGCACAGAAGAGAGTCGTTTAGGTGGCCGATGCGGACTTGTTGGTCACAAGTCAGATAACGGGGACCGTCTACTGCAACGATGCACAGACCACAACCTGTTTCTGGCTAGCACTAACTTTCGGCACAGTCATCGCCGATGTGCCACCTGGCGTCCTCCCTCTGCATATCAAGCCTGGACTCAGATTGATCACATCGCGATCAGCTACCGCTGGCGTGGTTGTGTACAAGACTGTCTCCCCTTTTGGAGTACCTATCTGGACTCTGATCATGTCTTGGTCTGCGCCAATCTTGCCTTACTTTTCAGTGGCCAAAGAAGTGACCCCCACCAACGGATTGATGTTAGCAAGTTGGTTGCAACTTCTGTTGCAAGTAAGTATCAAACCGAGCTAGCTTCTAGGCTAGCTACCACTCCACCGAAAAGTATAGATGAGCCTTGGTTGCAATTGCATGACGCCATGAAAATGGCGGGTACAGTCAGTTGTGGGTTTGCGAAACGTCCCGCTTATAAGCAATGGGTTTCTTCAGGTTCCTTACAACTCACTGAAGCCCGTCGGTCTACTCCGGGTGACCGTGAGTTTGACCACAAACGAAGGTTGTTACGTAGCAAAATTGGGCAAAGCTTGCATAAGGACCGAGAAGTCTGGTGGTTGGAGCGTGCTAATGAGCTGGAAGCAGCAGCTGCATCTGGTAATTACCGGAAGCTCTTCCAACTCATCCGAGCCACTGGCAGCAAGAAGTCTGGTGTGAGTGAAACAATCTGCGAGGATGACGGGATGCCAATCACTAACATCCATCGACGTCTTGGACGATGGGCAGAATTCTTCGAAGGGCAGTTCAACTGGCCTGCTGCTCCGGCAGCATCGGTCGGACTGTCCTACCTTCCATGGCCGGTGACGATTGATCCACCAAATGAGGCGGAAGTCCGCAAGGAACCCCAACTCTTAAAGCGCTACAAATCACCTGGCCCAGATGACTTACCTCCGGCTCTTTTTAAAGATGATGGTGACTTTCTGACTAAGGAACTGACGACGTTGCTAACAAAGGTTTGGGTGTTAGAGAGTGTATCAACGTCATGGAATGAGTCGATAGTTGTCCCTATCTTTAAAAAGGGTTCACGTCGTTCCTGTAATAACTATCGGGGGATAAGTCTACTTCCGATTGCGTCCAAACTATTTGGCTTCAGTTATACTTCGTAGACTGTTTAAAACCCGAGAAAGATTGACTCGCGAGGAGCATGCTGGTTTTCGTTCTGGTCGAGGATGTATTGATTATATCTTCACCCTGCGCCGAATGTTAGAACACCGCCATAATTTTCAAAGGCCAACAATCGTAGTGTTTCTTGACATCAGGGCTGCCTTTGATTCGTTGGACAGGACTGTCCTCTGAGATTGTCTATTGAAGAAGGGTGTCTGAGAAGTCCATCAACATCTTAAAGGCCCTACATACAAACACCTCAGGTAGAGTGGGGGCATACAACCACCTCTCTCCATTGTTCCATTCGAGCAGTGGCGTTAGGCAGGGTTGCCCAATCTCACCATTCCTCAACTTTGCCATCGATGACATTCTGGAAACAGCTCTGATGAATGTAAGTAATGGTGGTGTGGATCTGTTGCCTGGAGAAAGACTTCTCGACCTTGAGCATGCGGACGATATTGTCTTACTGAGCGATAATGCCCAAGCCATGCAATCCGCACTTAATCAGTTGGCAATCAGTGTCCGTAGGTATGGTATGTGCTTTGCACCTTCGAAGTGCAAAGTACTTCTACAAGACTGGCAGGATTCTAATCCTGTACTCACCCTGGATGGTGAGTAGATAGAAGTAGTCGAGAAGTTCGTGTATCTGGGTAGCTGCATAAGTGCTGGTGGGGGTGTGAGTGATGAGATCAATGCACGTATAGTGAAAGCCAGAGTGGCTGATGCCAATCTGGGCCATCGTTGGCGCCTTCGTGATGTTAGTCTGGCTGTAAAAGGTCGGATTTACAACGCGTCGGTGAGAGCAGTTTTGCTCTATGCTTGTGAAACCTGGCCTCTCCGAGTTGAGGACGTTAGACGACATTTTGTATTCGATCATCGATGTCTCCGAAGGATTGCTGACATCCAGTGGCAACACCATGTTAGTAATGCAGAGGTTCGGCATCGTGTGTTCGGGCACAGAGAAGATAATACAATTGGTGTCACCATCTTGAAACACCGATTTCGGTGGCTTGGACATGTTCTACGAATGTCGTCCCAGAGAATTCCACGTCGTGCATTATTTACCGACTCTGGAACTGGTTGGAGAAGGCGGAGAGGTGGTCAGTGCATGACATGGTGTCGTGGTATGAAAGAAAGCTGCAAAGGACTGGCTTGTGTCGGTCCTTCACGACTCCCTGGTTGGGGTCCGAGAGATGGTGCTACACAGTGGCTAGAGACATTATCAGATATGACTCAGAATAGAAGGCAGTGGCGATCCTGCTGTAGCCTTTTACTTTCTTCATAAAAGTGGTTGTTTCTTCCTTAACTGAAAGATTTCTTCTGATTGTACCTTTCCGTTCCCTCATTATGACTATGATTATTACTACATTCCCTTACACCGATCTCTTCATTATTGTTTTTTTAAGTTCTTCATTGTATGTTTTTTCTTAAATTTTCATTGTTTTGCGTGGTGCATATATATTTGGCGCACTCCTGTACCAATATATATGTGTTCAAATAAATAAATGCCAAGTAAAAAGTTTGCTAAAATAGCTGGTAATTTCATCATCATGGAACTATAAAAATTGTATCTAACTCACACAATATATAACATAGGAAAAGTAATTCAGTGTTTGTCAAAGAGTGGATCTGAATTGAAGTGTGGCTAAAGGCCAGTCGAACTGTTCCCTGAAGTGTTCTACTTATCATCCAATATCTTCGGTTGAGTAAATAATAATCGGATCTTTTTCATAAATCGTCTCACTAATACCTATTCCCTTGATAAGTCCGAACAATTGTCTGCTTCCATCTATTGCCGCTTCCTTTTCCATCTCTTTTGTTTTCGCTGCCTACCACTGCCCACGATCATTGCATAGGCTTTTTATCAACCTGTGTTTAAGCAATCTTAGCCTCCCATCGTGTTCAGAGATGAGTTCCCGAGAGTCTATCAGTTCAGTAGCTGCTGAAATTCGGAATGTGTCCCAGAATGATCGACGGCCTTATTGAGTCTAGTAAAATTTATCCTTTACTTCATCCGAGGTGCTATCAGTGAGAGCGTAGAGAGAAAGACAAAGAAGAGGTAATAAGGGGTGTCCCTATCCCTCCGTGTTCTTCCTTCCCAGTTTAACCGAATAGCGTATAAGCAACTGTCTATTGAAATTCATTACAGAAGAACCTGTTTTGCTTTTGAACTTAATGCTATGCTCACACCCGTAAAACCAGTGAAAGTGGCAGAGGGATCTTACGTGCTGATATAATATTCACAAGGTGAGATCAAGTGAATGACCACACTCAGGTCATGTACATGCGTTTTGGAGACGCAACAGACATCGACATAGTGGGATTCTAGGATCCTAACTAAAGAAACCTGTTGTCCAAAATGACAAGATTCGAACATTAAAAGCCTCAACATGTAGTTTAGTGTCGTCTCGGAACACTAGACACTTCGTAAACTCCAATCATTACCATTGGTGGCGCGTATTGATAAAGATAAACAAGGATGAGTCATCATTCAGTCACAATGTAGAATCCGTACGTACATCAGCTCAAGTTGTCACACCCCATTAGCACAGAGAGATGAAGTTGTCAAGGCAAATCCCAGAACAGTGGATGCAGCAACAGTATCAGTGGTAATAGGAAAGATTAGGCATCGAAGATACGATCCAAAAAGAAAATACAAGTTAGCGAAATAAACACACACAAAAAGGTTATGAAGAATTTACTATCTCAGAATTTGAGGGAAGACAAAGGATGAGTGCACCTAAGCCATTGAGAACGATTTTGAGTTGTCATTCAAAGTCTCTAACCAAGGATTAGTCATAAGGATAAAAGAATTATTAAGATGTGAGGGTGGGATTTGATCGTAAAGGGAATGATCTCGGGTGCTGATAGAGGTATGGGAGCAACTGTAATTTACGAACGTGGAAAGACCTGCAAAAGGAATTGGAAAAGTGGTGGTCTTGGTGACTTGAGAGCGTGACCAGAGTAAAGGATAACTAATCAGGATAGGTCGCGCATGGCCTTTGTGTGGGAAGTTTTGATGTGTTAGCTCTGCATTTTAAAAGGCTTTACTACCAGAGAAAGAAATCCGTAGGGTTAGATGAGATGTGACATTTTCTAACTGCTTCCTTTCGTTGTGAGAAGGCAAAATCTCTGCAGATGCTGGTTGTTCGAGAGGACTGCCTTAATACCGTCATACCTCCATACAGTCAGCAGTACTACTTCGCCCTAGTACTTCGAGTTGCTCGTTTAGTCTTATCGTTCTCTAACCGACCTGCTTGGCGTGGTAGGATCTGAAAGGACGTGTGTCCCAGTCAGTATAGCTCAGTTGAGCCATCACGATAGGTAAGCCTGACCACTTCAGGGTACTAGCTATCACTGGAGAGAGTAAACTCACTGACACTTCCGAAATATGTCATGTTTAGTGAAATTATTCAGTGAAAAAAGTTGATGCTGGTTGCGAGATGCTAAATACATACAATACGTTTGATGCCATGGACCTGTATTCTTAATTAGTAAATGATATACTGTTCTGAACCGTACTCAAGATAATATTAGCAAACCTTGAATAATATTTGATAGATTCGAGACTAAAAGTGATTCCCAGTAGTAATCAAAAATCAAATGAATAAACCTTACGACAGGTATCAAAGTGCTTTTATGGTGTATTTATTGATAAAAATAATAAATAGTAAGTCCAAGGGGACCTTAAAAGGTTACAAATAATAGGATTGTATGTAAAAAATGAAGGTCCAAATTTATAACACTCACCCCATTCTGCCGTATGCTTTGCTGTAACATGGGTCGATTTCTAAAGCCTTCAAGCAGTCATTAATTGCATCTTGGTGATGATCTAATCGAGAGTGGGCGGCAGCTCTTCAGACAAAAAATGACCAAAAATTTTCAAGGTAAAGGAGAGATGAGGTTACAAGAAAATTAGTAGTAGTAATTCACTGAGTTGATCTACTATATAATCTCTTAAGAACATGACATCCCTGTTAACCAGGTTTACAGTTGGCTGTGATCTAAAAAGTGGGCAGTTACATGATACGCCTCTGCTCTAGAAGTAAGCAACTTCCATAATATGTGTAATACTAAAAATAATTTTCATTAAACTATTTATTACGTTACAAAGAGCAATTAGTTGGAACAAATTTTCTTATAAGCTATTTGATTATGGAATTCTAAACCAACAATTACAACACTGGACTATTATGAGCTACTATAAACATTTCAAGTTGGTTGTGGACAATTAGCTTAATGGGTTTTTCTCTATAGATTTTGTTTACATGAAATGAAGTATGACAAACATGAATTGTCATCCCCGTGAAATAAGGCTATAACTCATCTGATCAATTTCAGCAGTATGGAAGTTGTTTCAGATGTAATGACATTTCTATGGTAGTGTACTACAGATTCAAATTTCAAAATAAACTGTAAAATGCCATAAAACTCAGTAAATACCTGTTGCAGTAAAATACTGCGTTGTACGGGGACAGCTCAATAGCTTTACTGTAGCAGGCTACAGCTTCCACAAACTTCTCCTGTTTCATGCATTGATTGCCTGGAGGTGCATCTTAATAAAAAAAAGAATAGTCATACCTTGATTTTTTAATGCTTCTGCCATTGATTTGGTTTCTTCTGAGGGTTCGCTTCTTACAATATTAGGTTTTTTCTGTAATAATGACTTAAAAGGCGGGTAATTACTTGAGCCTGGGATTTAAATAATGTTTGTAAATCAGGAACATCACCGACTTCAGTATCAGATATATGAAAAGCTGTTTCTATACACTGCTTCGCAACTAAAACAAAAGTCATCTCAATAGTTACTCTAAGATAAGTTCTTTCAGATAAGCAAATATAAATGACCTGAATACATAGGCAAGTCATAATACTGAAGCAATTTACGTAAAGGAACGTCCTTTTAAAGCCTCGTTAAGATGTCATGTATCTCCTTCAATATTCTATCCAATAACTCAATGAGTAGTTGTTGCATATATCAGAACGATCAAGTTTGCTCCAAATAACCCAACTTACTCCGCGTGTCACAAAAAGCAATTAAACAGTAATTTTCTATATCTTAAGTTTGTATCTGTAACTACATGGTCTGTTTCCATGTTATTGTTCAGTCAGTCTTGCTCTTTTGGGACACAAATTTCAAGAAAGAGGTAAATTATCAAGAATGTGACTTTTAATTACAAAATCATTGGCAAAGAACAGTTAACAAAAACGTTAAGCGGATATGAACCACTTTAATAAACAGCGTTCCGGCGATTAACACTAGGGTACAGAAAAATTGACTAAAGAATGTTTGAAGACAACATTACCAATAGTTGGAAAGCTAAAGGAAAATAGACGAAACTGAAAGGTGACAAGTATGGCGTAGTGCTATGTTCATGATTCAGATAAACATGAAAAGTAAAAGCAACCGATTTTGTGAGACCAAATAACAGTAACTTTAATGACAGATACCATACTATACATAGAGGAGGAGCAACATTTTAATCTTTAAGTAGTAGATTCAGGAATAATTCCCCTACTAGGTTTATAGCACCTGGTCAGTGCCGACAGACCCTACATATGAGCTTTGGAGTCAAGGCAATACACCTCAACTCATTAAATGGGTTACACTAATATCACAATTTTAAATTGGTCACCCTTCTCCCCAAAACGATATTACGCTGGCCCTTACGGTGTGTCTGAAGCCAGGACAAGTGAGGCTTAACATTGTTGTTCCGGTACCAGACCCTAAATACGAGACCAACAACTCCAGAAACTAGGATAGCGGAAATTGCAACAATCACAACAGCTTTCTTACGAATTCTCAACCATTATTAACTTGAAAATACCGCTGGCTTGGATCTGCATAGAACGACGCAAAAACTTCGAACACTAACGAATATGTTATTCAATCTAACTCACAATTTCCCGACTATAGCAAGGCTTCACAACGCTAGTGTTTTTCTCTCGGTTTAAGTAATTGAGGCCCTCCAAATTTAGCTACAGTTTACATGGTATTTTCCGAGAACTTTTGAACATATGACAGTTGGGAGTACCACCTATCCCTCTTCATTACTGGTTTGTACAGCCTTCTAACCGTATATTAAAACACTAGCTGATATTCATCCGATAATGTTGCTACGTTTAGAACCAATCTACTCAGAAATACATATCACCATTTTCTCACAATGATACTATATCTTCCTGCTTCATTGATGACTTCCCCACCGCAAATTTAGTGTATGTATATTTACCTTCAAGACCCTCAGTTATCTCCGAAGAGTAGACATGGGAATTTATTTCCTTATCGAAGAAACGGGCAATAGATCTGTATATGTCCTTTTTATCAGCCATCACCACAAACCCTTCACGGTAACGACAACTTTCATAAATACCTCCACAAACGGTTCAGTCCTCAGTCTTCAGTAATAAGGATAGGAGGTCTATCGACTTATATTAATCCTTGCAGTTTGTAATACTGTGTAGGTCCAACCTCGTTTTGAATATCTTAACAGACGGTGTTGATATTACGTGTTGCGGTAGAGAATTCCAGTAATTCACTACTCCGTGCGAGAAACGGAACTCCAGACGTAAACGGTTTGATCTCGGTTTTTGAACTTTCTTCGGATGTCCTCTCAAATGACCGGTTATAGACGGAAGCAAAAGATAAGACATGTTAATATCAAGGTCATTGTTCAGTATACGATAAGCCAATATTAGATCACCTCGTATTCTACGGTAAGATAACGGAAATAAGTTAAGTTGTCTCAGTCTGTCTTCATAAGATAGGCCAGATAAACCTTGTACCATCTTAGTTGCTCGTCGTTAGACTCTTTCTGGCATATCTGCTTCATACTTGAAACAAGGACACGCTGCTTGAATCCCGTATTCTGAATATGGTCACACATAAATCGGGTATAGTAATCTAAACATTTCATCATCTGAATACTGGAAAGACCTACGAATTGACCATAGTACCCTATAGCCTTTTGCTGCAGCAGCCTTACAGTGACTAGTGGTTTTGAGATCATTGCCTAATATAACTCCTAAATCTTTATAGTTTCTTGCTTTGGGTAGCACGGATCCACGTCAGTCAGTCAGTCAGCTACAACGTAGGACCAGGCACATATGTGCATCGGTCCAGGTTGCCATACTGCATCAACACAACAAGATGAACACCGGATTCATAACAGTGGTTAGGTAAAAGGTAGTAATATATAAGAGAAAGATTGCATATAGAGATATAGTACAAGCAGAAAGAATTGGTTCGTAGAAAGAAAGATATGAAGCGATTTTAATCTCATAGTTTAAGGGAAGACAGGGAGTGTATACACCGACGCCATTGCGATCGATTCTGAGCCATGTCACCAAGAGTCTCCAACCATTGGTTACGATAGTCACGCGGACCCCAACCAAGTAGTCTGCATCTACAAACATGGCTCAGACTAGAGGTTAGTGACTTCAAGCACTGATGTCACGTTTTGGTTTGGCCGCCCCTAACTTTCTTCCAACCATTTTCAATACCGGATAGCATTGCAAGTCTTGGTAATCGGTGTTCAGGCATACGTAACACGTGGCCCAACCATCTCAGTCGATGAAGATTCACAACATCATCAACTGATTTACCATCCTTTCCTAATACCCTGAGTCTAACCCCACTATTACTTACCCGGTGATCCCAGCAGACGCCAGCAATATTTCTAAGGCATCTGTGGTCAAACGGATCCACGTAGTGTATAGTCATATGATTCATCAGAGTTATTTAACTGCATCACTACACTTTTATTAGGATTTACTTCTAGTGACCACCTGCCCAACCATGCCACCAATGAGCTAAGATCATTCTGTAATAGTATTCTTTACGACATACTATGTATGGGTCTCCAAATCTTTAAGTCATCAGCGAAGAGTAGAACGGATGATTTTGCTACAGATGGCAATTCATTTACATAAAGGAAAAAGAGAAGAGGACCTAGGATTGTGCCTTGGGGAACCCCACTTTTTACAGGTACCAATGGGGAGAGAGCCACATTAACCCTTACCCTTTGTCTCCTGTCATGGAGAAAGTTAATTATCCAATCGACGACTGTATAATGGATTCCAAAACGTTTCAGTTTGAATTTAAGACCAGAGTGGAAAACCTTATCAAAGGCTTTACTTAGATCTATGAAAATCACATCCACACGAGCATTCCGATCTTTTGCCGCAGCCCAATCTTCTCGTGCAATGAGAAGATTTGTCAAACAAGATAGGCCTTTCCGAAAACAATGTTGTGCCCTGGAGAAAAGATTTCGCCCTTCAACATAGTTTATTACAGCTATCCGAATGATTTTCTCCATCAGTTTTACAACTGCACTAGTTAAGCTAACGGGTCTATAATTACTAACTAAATCCCTACTCCAAGCCTTATACTCCAGACTTATTATGACGTCTTTCCAGTCTCTAGAAAGTCTGAACTGTCACAGAGACATGTCGAAGAGTATCGCTAATGGTTCAGCAATTTCATCTGATATGGTTTTCATAATCCTAGGATGGATATCATCAGGACCACTGGACTTATCAGGTTTGAGATGCTGAAGTAGCCTTAAAACAGTACCTTTCTCAATGACTACAGGATCCATCAGCGAGCCATCACGGTCGCGATTAATCGTTGGTCGTTCCTCATTACCGATGGAAAACACTTAACTAAAATATTCCGATAAAGCTTCAGATTTTTCGGCATCATTCTCTGCTAAGATTAACGGATTATCTCGTATCAAAAGTGATGGAATTCCATCGCTTCTAGTGGTTCGCCTTTTTATATACGAGAATAACCGTTTCAAACTATATCTAAAATCCCTAACCAATTGCATTTCGTATGATAGTATAGTCTTGCTTATTAACGCTTTACAGGCATTCCTAATCTTACAATAACCGGATCTGTATTGTTCTGAGCCAGTAGAGATGAACATATTCCAGTGATTCTTTTTTTTCTAAGGAGTTTCCTGACCGTTTTAGTTATCCATGGTGGATTGTTATTCGGTCTTCGCAGTACCAGGTATGGTATGAACGGGGACGTAACTAGTCTAAATTTACCTTTAAAAACAGACCATTCTTCTTCAACTGATATGCTAGTATCTACCAAACAATCTGTCTTAGCAGTGCATTCCTGAATGGCTGATATGTTAGCTTTCCATACATTTGGGGCAAGGTGTAACCTGATCGTATAACATGTCCCTAGTTCTAAACGCGAATGACAAAACAGCGTGATCGCTGTTCACTAACGGTGGAAGAATCTTTAAGTCGACAATATCCTCAGTCTCATGAGTGATTACCAAGTCCAGCAGAGAAGAACCCTGGTTAACACCAAAACGTGTGGGTTTGGATACATGCTGCACTAGTGCATGCTCCATTACTGTTATCAGGAACCTACTATCAAAGGAGTTTATAGATCCTTCTGTGGTCATCTCAGTCCAAATAATATCAGGTGCGTTAAAGTCTCCAATTATCAAGCATCTGGTATTTTTACTCCAAAGATGAATGTACTCTAAAATAAAGTCATCAGCTAAGCAGATTGGGCTGAGAGAGATAACACCTAGCATAAATGTACTACATCCAATAGCCAACTTACAGCTAATGACTTCACAAGTACCGCTATCATGGGATTCGCTAGTAGAGGAGCGGATATTTATGCTATTGTATATAAATAACAGGACACCGCCTCCTTTTCTACATCTATGTCTATCACTCCTGATGCAATGGTATCCGGATAATTCTGGAGTAATGTCTAAGTCATGGACTAACCAAGTTTCTGTCACTGCTACTATGAGTGGCTTTAACCTGTTCACTAGTGCTTCTAGTTCATAGAACTTATTTCGTAGACTACGAGCGTTGGCATATAAAACTCCTGAGTAGAACAGCCTATCCACACAGGCCTTGGTAGCATCCGCTTCCAAGACCTGACTATCCGAAAACCCACTAGCCGGAGATTTTCCTCACCGTTTTGCCGACGGGGTTCAAGTTCAGCTAGTGCTTTCTTCCTTTTTATTCTATCTTCGAGAGAAACGTCAGGTCTAACTCGGATGTCAGAATTGTCGTGACAACGAGCGCTACTTAACAAGAGATCCCGTTGCTTCTTCGATCCTAGGATTACCTTAAGGAGTCTGCATGGACGAGGTTCAACATTGTCCTTGGTCCTCTTGCCTATTCTTACCAATTTTTTGACCTGAACTCCTTTGGAGCTATCTGGTAAAATACTACGAATGTATTCTCCTAGCTTTTCTAAGTCATGCACGTGTCTAATTTTCGGATCAGGGTCGTTTGACTCCCGCAATTCACTCACAATAATATTCGATGTTATTAGATTTTTCTTCTCAGTCACGCCAGGATAGGTTTCACTCTTACCATCAGATTTGGTAGTGCAATTTGTGGCTCACAATTTGAGTCCACCAGTGAGTTACTAACTACCTGTGTACTGCCTACAGCTTTTTTCTTTTCGTTTCGTTTTCTCCGTACCGTAGTCCATTTTTCATCCCTCATAACACTGGGACTATTTGGAACGGTGACTGTTTTAGCCAGATCTTCGGTTCCCACTAAAGGTGCATTATTAACAATATCATTACTAGGTGGTACTACTCCCCCTGTTAATGTCAACGGAGATTTCACTTTTACGTCGGTCACAGTCGGTTGTTTGAGGCGTCGCGTAACAGCAGGTACTACACTGACACATTCGTCACTGTCAGTGCCCATGTTGTCAGGGCATCTGCCATCTTTTTACAGGCCAAAGCCAATAGGCTCATAGCCTCCCGTATTAGTAATGCCTTGTTGGTACAGCAAAACATGCAAAGCCAATGTAAGTTAGGCTTCGAACATCATTTGTATGCTGTGGGACTTAAACGGGTGCACATTTTGTGGAACCACTTATTGCATTCGTCACACTGCATTACCTCCTCCACAGGGAATAAACAGTTTGGTTGTCCACATTTGTGAGTGCTACCAACCATTTTAGTCAGATCAAGGTGCGACGCAATATGATCACAGTATGAACACAAATGTCAGTCAACGAATAAAAGGTTACCACAAGACAAACTTTAGCAAGATTTTAAACCTTAACTAAAGTACTTTGATGCAGACCAAGAATGCTTTCGAATGTAATAAATACACAAAAGCCAAAAAACTCAATAGAATATAACTTTAGCTGTAGTAGATTCAATTAAAGTGTAGATCGTAATTTTGATACGTAATTTACGATCAAAACAGTTAACTAATTCAACAAGAAACAATACCACTATCCCTTTAGATAGCGCGAGTTCGAATAGTTAAACTCTAATGGACAGAAAGAAGTAGCTGCCGCTTCACGAGCTTCTCTGTGAAATGTCAGTGATACACTTTGTGCCTCAAGACGTTAAAGCTAGTTCGCTTTCGTCCGCCCGACTTTGAGGCTGAAGGATCAGACAACATACCAGCTGAAGCACCGAAGTCAGATATGGAGGCAACTGCAAAGATGCTCCATATTCTCTGAAGAA